GAACATATTGTCCATTTTCACAAAATGAGAGAGGTGAACAAGAATAATGCTTCCTTTCCAGTTTTTGAGGTCTCGCTTCATGCAGAATTATACATGGTATTCCCCTAATTAAAATGATAATTATATATCTTCAGGACTGGATTAATATGTTAAAATAAAAATGCAAATTTACCCATTAGCCCACAGAAATTCTCATGAAATGACAGAAGAAAAATTAATGAAAAGCTTCCTGATAAAACAAGAAAGGATGACAGCATAGGTAGGACAAAGCGATAGCAAGGGGACTGTCGAGTCCCCAGGTAATGTCAAAAGATATTTAAAATGAGAGGAGCTTGACTTCCTAAGAAATAATAAATTTTCAAAATTAGCTCAATGAGTAATATGAAAGTGGAATAGCACAATGAGCTGTGGGAAGTGGAAAATGTAGTTTTAGGCAAATTGCACCAAATCTTCAAAGATTACAATAGAATTCCATAAGCAAAATCCATACAAAACTCAACTAATACATATCATGGAAAAATATTTGATTTATAATAGAATGGAATCTATAAAACATCTTGGGAGAAAACTAATACTTTATTCAAGGACATGAAAGAGAATCAGAATGCATCTAGAAATATACTTTTCCTTGAAAGGAGTATTTAATATTACTAAAATGCCAACTCTTCTTATACAATTCCATAAATAAAATATAAATCAACACTATATTCACATTTTCTTGTTAACATTGGCACACTAATTCTACATTGTTCTTGAAGTGAAATTATGCAAAAATAGATAATATATTTTCAAATGGTGACTCACTCATTTTCACACCTCAAAATATGCTATAAAATTAAATAATTGAAGCAATTGGTATGGGCACAGGAATCGATATATAGATTCATGGAATACTTAGAGTCCAGAAACAGATCAGCTATTTATAAAAATTGGTCATGTGTTAAATAGGTCAGAGTTGAAAAGATGTTCTTATTAATTAGGAACGTTTGAGAACGTTAATATTATGTTGAAAAAAATGTCTAAAATTGGAGTTGTCTTTCACTTTTACGCAACAGAAGCAGTCCATATAGATTGAGGAAATAAGTATAAAGAGCAAAAAAGAGAGTGTGGTTATGAAAAAATTAATTTGCATTTTTAAAAGATATTGATAAAGAGTAATCATTTAAGCTTCTACTGTGGAATTAATGTGGAAGACATAAATAAAAAGATTAGAACAAAAATTTTAAAAATCTACGCCAATTCTCCTTTCGGGTTTTTCCTTCAGCCCAAGTATGTGGTCTTTATTAAAGATGCTGAATTGTTTGAAACAAATTCATGGATACAGAGAACAAAATGACAGTTGCCAGATGGGAGGGGGGTTGAGTGATGTGTGAAAAAGGTGAAAGAGATAAATACAAATGGCCAGTTATGAAAAAAGTCATAGGGATGTAAAACACGGCATGGGAAATATAGTCAATAATGATGAGACAACTGTGTATGGTAGTGGTAGTAGATGGGTACTATACTTATTGTGGTGATCACTTCATAAGTCCTGGTATAGTTGTCTAATCACTGTGTTGTACACTGGAAATTAATATGATATTGTATGTTAACCATAATTTAAAAATAAATTTTATGAATAAATATATAAATAGATTAGCTACAATTGGAAATTAAGAGATAATTTCCAGAAAGAAAACAAAATTGTAATCAACAGATCCTTCCTCTGATATGAAAAGCCTTTTTTATTCTAAAATCAAACTTTGGCCAACGAGAGTCTATGGAGATATTTTTAGTTTAAAGGTAAAATGTCAAGATACATGTATGTTCTATAATTCCTATCTCTAACTTTTTTGATTAACCAATTTACTAATTTTTTTGATTTTATCAGGTAAGTGATAAAAGAATCTGCAACTAAAATTTAAATGAGCTCTACCTGGGCAATTGTAGGGTAATTGTAGAGAACTGAATAAAATAAGCTCTAAGCTTTATTTGAGAATATGACATAAATAATTATTAAATTGGGGGTACAGTAAAAATATTAAGATGTTTTATTTTAAAAATAAAGTAAGCATGGGAAGATTAAAAATACAGTTGTCTCGCCCTGGCTGGTTTGGCTCAGCGGTTAGAGCATCGGCCTGCGGTCCGGAGAGACGCGGGTTTGGTTCCCGCTAAGGGCATGTTCCTCGGTTGCAGTTTGTCCCCTGCCCTGGTTGGTCGTGCGGGTGGCAGCCACTCGATGTGTCCCTTTCACGTAGATGTTTCTCTCTCTCTTCCTCTCTCTCCCTCCCACTCTATCTGTGCAAAAAATGGAAAAATGTCCTCGGGTGAGGCTAAAAAAAATACAGTTGTCTCCAAATCCTCTAAAAGTAGAAACTCAAAGAAGACTCAATCCTGATAAATGAAGAAAAATAAATTTAAAAAAACATATGGTTAATATAAACCTTCAATAACATAGCAGAAGGTATTCCTATGAGTGGAATAGTTTTAATTTTCTGATTAAAAGGCAGAGTCTCAGAAAATAAGATGAAAGAAATTTAGCTGCAGGCTCGAGACACAGCTAAAATAAAACGATCTTATTTCTAACAGAAATATATGTGTGTGCTTAGCCATTTATTTCAGCCTCCAAAAAAAGTGCCATAAACTCTTGTTAATTGTTATTCTTAAAAAACAGAAAGAAGAGAATGTTTCTTTTTGTTTTGCTTTGTCCAGTTTAGTACAATTCAAATGTTTTCCATGAGAATATGTTCCTATAATGTAACTTTTTTAAAAGAGAAAAATTATAGGGGAAAAATCCTTCTAAAATCGAATACCCAATATTTACCCAGTCCCTACCACACACACACACACACACACACACACACACACACACGGAGGCAAAGATCAGGAAAGAACTGTTTTTCTTTTAGAAAGGAGTAGAAATGGAAGATCTAGGAAATAAAAACATAAGACATTCAGTTAATTTTAATTTCAAAATACTAATTTCTAATTTTAATATATGTACACATCAAATATTAAATGAGACATAATTATACTAAAATGTTTTATTCATTATCATCTGAAATTCATATTTACTGGGTATCTGTTTTATCTGGTGAGTGAAGTAAAGTAGTTTCAGGAAGCAGTATCCACATCTGAAGTGCATTCACTGGACTAGAGTTCAGGGCCCAAACTTCAAAACACTGGGGAAAAGAAGCTTTGAGAACAAGGTGGGTGACTACACCTAATTTGTTCCCAGAATAGGAACAGACAAACAACTATGAGGGAGGACAGAGTTGAAGTTGAGGGAGGTAAAGGAGAGGAGGTTGAGCCTCTGTGGTAGATGAAAGTGGTCATTGGAGCAGAACTTCATCCAGGAGGAAGCCAGGCATCAGTGATTCCGGGACCTCAGGGAATACACTGGTCTTGCCTTGTGTCTAGACTAGCAGGAGAAAGAACTCAGGGAAAAGGTAAGGGCACAGTGGAGAGACTGGGACAGAAATCTGGTTTAGACTAGCAGGAGAAATGGGAATGAGGCATGGAACACGTGTATACTGTCACCATTTAGGTGTGGGTCGGTGTTGGTTTTTTTGTTTTTTTTTAATAGTAATTGTCTAAATAAAAACATCTACAAAATATTTAATATATATCAACATAATAACATTTTATTTGTCTACCATTATAAGAAATAGGTGGTCCCAAATATGTAGTGAATTTTCCAAATAAATGAAATATCACCTTACGGGCCCCAAATTTTTAATGAGGTTTTTTTTTTTTCTCCTGATATTCTTTATATATTTAACCAAGAATCTTAAGCAAAGTACATTAACACAGTTCATCCTTTTTAATGACTCAAGAGTCACTAGAGATATCAAAATTAAAAACTGTAGAAAAGATCATATAGTAAAAGCCCTTTATTTGAAAGAATAGGTATCAGATTTACATTGTAAATCAATAATTTGTTGTGTTCATCATTTAATCTGTGATCAGTAAATATTTACACAAGGGGAGAAAAGCAAGCACAAAGAAAGGAAGAAAGCTAGGAAAGAAGGAAGGGAGGGAGGAAGGAAGGAAGGAAGGAAAGGAGGGAGGGAGGAAGGAAGGAAGGGAGGAGGGAGGGAAGGAAGAAAGGAAGGGAGGAGGGAGGGAGGGAGGGAGGGAGGGAGGGAGGGAGGGAGGGAGGGAGGGATTATATTACACCACTAGAAATTTCTGAAATATGAAGGGATATTTTTCTGTTTAATCTGCTTGCAACTCCTTTGATGTAGACATTAATATCCCAACTCTAAAAAATAAAATATTGAGCTTCAGATAGTTGAACTGACTTGCATAAGGCTATGAATCTAGTATATCTGTGTCTAGAGCCTATGACATTTCCACCTCACCACTCTGTTTCTTTTTTTTTTTTTAAAGATAATGAATCTCATTTCTTTTTCATCCTCACCCAAGGACATTTTTGCATTCCTCTTCAGACAGAGCGGGAGGGAGAGAGGGAGGAAGAGAGAGAGAGAAACATCGATGTGAGAGAGACACATCGACTGGTTGCCACCCACACGACCCCAACCAGGGCCGGGGACAAACTGCAACTGAAGTACACACCCTTAGCGGGAACTGAACCCGAGACTCTCTGGTCCGCAAGCCAAGGCTCCAACCACTGAACCAAACCAGCCAGTGCACCACTCTGCTTCGTTAACACAATGGTTCCCACAGGCACTTTGCGGCATCGGTTAGACCATCTGGAAGCATGCTGTTCTCAGTGTTGAGATGGCTGGGTAAAACCAACTTTGAATATGTAAAATAATCTTGTTATAATTTATCACGTCCACTCTAAAAGCATCCAATCATTTTCTAACTTAATGTATTTGAAGATAATTATAGTATCTTGTCATTTAAAAATAAATATGATACACATACACAACAAGGGAAATATATAAAATTTTTACTAGACTAAGTTTCAAAAATATACCAAAATTAGTCAAAGAAGACAACAAACACTTGGGGGTGTAGTGGGAGGAAATGATTGTTCATATTTTTTCATTCAGTGATCACTCTTTGGGGAGCCACAAAATATTTCAGAAAGATAAATCTGTTATTCAACTTAATCTGCAGAAAAACAGGGAAGTTCCAGGAAAGTTATCTCGAAAGGTAAGACCTTCTTAATATTAATTTTAATTCTCAACTAATCATTTTAAAGACAATATTCCCATTTTTATGTTTTGTTACCAATTTATAATTCCACAACCTAAAGAATATATGTTCATTTGAGTATACTTATTAAGACATAATGAAATATTTATCTGTACGCCTGTTAACAATTTGGACGAAAACAATTGCATGAACCCTTTCTTGCAACCTCTGTATAATAACAAATCAATAGATCTATTGGAAAATCATTTATGAGAAACCTATTTAGGTTATCATATTCAAACCATGCTGTTGAACATGAATCCACTACAAAGTGGATGTAATAGAAAATGTGAAAAGGAAATCATTACAGGAAGAGAAGTAACACAACCCTTTCTATTCAAAGATTGTTTATGTCTGAGTCAACACAGTTTAAATCAGGACAGATTAATATTCATAATATATATAATAAATCTACCTAGAAAGGAATTACTGTGCTTTAATGAACAGTTTCATACTGTTAGATACAAATTTTATTCCCTGTGTGATGTTTTGAGTTACTTCAAACCCAAATCGCACAGTGTGCAGTGAACTTTGATATGTTGGCAGTTTTTATCTGTAGAATCTTCCAATTATCTGCTTTAAGCAAAAATCCCGGCACCCTGTCATTTACATCAGATAACAGATTTCTAGTGCATGACTCTTTTTTTCCTAGTCGGAGGTGTTTCATCATAAAAAGTGTCAGATGGTACATTAGGTTGCAATATATCTATGTGGAATACAACATAATGAGGCCAAAAGAGAGTTGTTTAGAAATATCTTTTGGAATCGGTTACCCAACTCAGCCAGTGCTGACAGCTCCAGGGCTATACATCTGAAGTATCCACAGAGAAACATTATAAACTGCAACTGCACCCTCAATATTAATGAACCCAAGTCTTCACCGTGTCCTCAATGTTGACAAAAAAAGAAAGAAAGAAAAAGAAAGCTGAAATAATCATGTTTTATTTCAACACAGAGGAAGAGAGAAAATCTATTGTTTTAATTCTACTCTTGTTTAGAAGTTGCATGTTGCTAAAAAAAAAAAGTTATCTCACTAGAAATTCACAGATCACTAACATTTCAGTTACATGTAAATTGAGGTTTATTCTTAAATCTATATAACTTCATATATTCTATGTCTGGGACTTGAACATTTCTGTCACACAGAGTCTTTAGAATAATTCTATGTGGTAAATACTATTAAAAGTAAGGAAATGGATCACAGGGAGCTCCCGTGACTTTCCCCAGATTATATTCATGGGCCTGGTGAGCAGAGGAGCATCGATTTGAGCCCAGACTTCATAGCCTATTCCTTATGCCCACCACTTACTCAAGAGTTTTAGATATGAGTTTCAGAACCATCATTCAAAAATCTAACTATATATATCTTCTTTGTTTTGTTTTCCGCGGCTATATACATATATCCCAATGTCTGAGGCATAATAGGTATTCAATGATTATTAATTATATTAAATGCCAGGCACACTTTTATCAGTGTAGATGTATTAATTTATAATAGCTTAAGAGGATAAAAAAAGTAATAATAATTACTATTATTTTCCTTTTTTATATAAATAAAAGGACTTTAAAAGATAATTTGAAACACACTGTATGGGAGAGCATAATTGCCAACGATACATCAGATAAGAGGTTAATTTCCAAAATATATAGAGTGCTCATACAACTCAACCAAAGGAAGACAAAGAACCCAATTAAAAAATGGGCAGAGGAACTAAATAGACACCTCTCTAAACAGGACATACAAATGGCTGAGACATATGAAGAAATGCTCAACATCACTAATCATGCAAATTAAAACACAATGAGGTATCATCTCACACCTGTCAGAATGGCCACTATCAACAAATCATCAAACAACAAGTGTTGGCGAGGGTGTGGAGAAAAGAGGACTCTAGTACACTGCAGGTGGGAATGCAGACTGGTGCAGCCACTATGGAAATCACTATGGTGTTACCTCAAAAAATTAAAAATTGAATTGTCATTTGACCCAGTGATCCCACTTCTAGGAATATACCCTAAGAAGCCTGAAACACCAATCAGGAAGAATATATGTACCCCCATGTTCATAGCAGCACTATTTACAATAGCTAAGATCTGGAAACAGCCCAAGTGTCCATTAGTAGACGAATGGATAAAGAAGTTGTGGTACATATACACAATGGAGTACTATGCAGCTGTAAGAATGATCTCTTATCCTTTGAGACATCATGGAGGGACCTGGAGAGTATTATCCCAAGTGAAACAAGCCAAGTAGACAAAGACAAATATCACATGATCTCACTTATTTGTGGAATATAATGAACATGACAGTCTGAGGAACAGGGTAGACCCAGAGATGTGGAAGTAGGGTACAGACTGACAACCCTTAGATGAGGGGGTAAGGGGAAAGGGAAGAGATAAACCACAGAACTTATATGCATGTACGCATAACTGATGGACATGGACGACAAAGCTGGGGTTGGAGTGAGGGGGGCGGGAAAGAAGGTGTCAATGGAGAAAAAAGGAGAAATAGCAGTAACAAAAATAAATTAATAAAAAAAAAGAAGATTATTTGATGCCTGCCGGTGTGGCTCAGTGGTTGAGCATCGATCCATGCACCAAGAGGTCGCTGGTTCTATTCCCGGTCAGTGCTCATGCCCAGGTTGTGGGCCAAATCCCCAGTGGGGGGCATGCAGGAGGTGGCCAATCAATGTTGTCATCGATGTCTCTCTCTCTCTCTTCTTCTCTCTCTAAAAATCAATTAAGAAAAAAAAAATTTAAGATTTGAATGGCTAATATCTTACAGCTAGTAAATAAGGGAGATGGTATCTGAGCCAAACTAGTCTGGTCACAGAGCTCACTATATCTTAATGACAGTCAATATAGTATCTTTGAGTTGTCATCACCAATGTTATTATATCCAGGGACAAGCATATAGTCATCTCTGAGTTTAAAGTTATAGTTGTCAAGAAATGTCTGCTTGTGAATCTATCATTTGGATCATAGAGGGAATTAAATTACATAGTTCTTTTTCTTATGCTTCAAGGTTCAACTCATGAATCATTGCTTCCTATAATAAATATCACCGAGTCTTAGCTAATTCAACAATTTATAGGTAAAGAGTGTAAATGCCTTTTCAATCGTCCACAGATTTTCTTAGCATTGACACTGTTATTCAAAAATGGATGATATGCTTGATGACATAAAATCTGTATATTCACCATTCACTCATATTTACTGTGCAACTGCTGTGTAGTAGGCCCTATATTAATGAGTATTTAGAATCATGAACAAAATCATCAAGATCTCAGCCTGCAGAGTTTAGGGTCCAGGTAACTCAACTGGCTTTAACTCTCAATTAAGAGCAGAGGCAGCCTCCACATAGACTATAAAAAAAGGCATTCCATATCTCCATCTCCCCAAATCCTGGCTCTTCAAGAATATCTTTAGCATCACATTTCAAGAGAGAAGACATTACATTTTATTGAAATCTATAAGGATTTCCTTCCAGACACTATGCTAAGTATACTATATGTATAAAATCTAGCAATTGATTTATTCAGTAAATATTTACTGAATGCTTTTTACATGCCCCATTTATAGTATTTGCCTTTAAAGACCTCATATAGTGAAGGAAGTTTAGTGAACTTCCTTGAAATTCAGAATTATGTCTTAGAACACATATATGCACAGACTGTTTCATTGAACAAGTAATAACAGCATCCAACCATGAGCCAGGCACTATTCTAAACACGGGCAATATGGAGGCGAACAAGACATTTCAGTACTTGTTCTAGAATGCAGTTTCCATCCTAGAAAAGCAGACAGACAGCAAAGAAGTATACATAAAAATTCTGATAGAAATGTGTGCTTTGAAAGAAAAGATACCTATGCCTTTAGAGTCTGGAGTGGGAGCCCCTGATGCAAATGAATATGAAGAACTAGTGGTGGTAATTAATTTTATGTATAAATCCTAGAGTGTATAGGCTTAACTCTCACCATAAGAAATGAGGAGTGTTACACTTACTAATCTGGCATCTTTTTTGAAAGCAGAGATTCTGGATTCATATTGCCAAATTCAAATGTCTGCTCTTGGACATATTATTAAATTCTATGCACCTGAGTCTTCTTATTTAAAAATGTAAATAATAATAGTATTTACTTAATAGGGTTATTATAAGAACTCAATTAGAAAACATAGATGAAGAGCTTGAGTCAGTTCCTACACTTAGGACTGTATAAGTATTAGTTATTGCCTGGCTGGTGGGGCTCAGTGGTTGAGCATCGACCCATGCACCAAGAGGGCAGCAGTTCAATTCCCAGTCAGGGCACATGCCCAGGTTGTGGGTCAAATTTCCAGTGCGGGGCATGCAGGAGGTGGCCAGTTGGTATTCTCTCTCATTGATGTTTCTAACTCTCTATCCCTCATGCTTTCTCTCTCTCTAAAATCAATAAAGAAAAAAAAAATTTTTAAGTAGTAGTTATTCATGTCATAAAATTAGGGTGTTAGGCTATATGATATTTTAGTCTTCTATTAAAAGTTATGTGATAAGGAGATAATGAATATTCTCCTTTCATTATTCTATTTTTAAAGTGCTGTCAAAATTTTCTGTGATATTCATAAATTTAAGTTGTAAGAAAAAAATTATAAACAATTATATTTTCTTTCTAATAAAACAACATAACTTGGCTTGATAATATTCTCTTATAGAATATTAGAAATATAATGATTATTGTCATTCTACTAAATGTATTGACAGTGTTGCCTTTCAGAAGATACTTCAGAGTTCTAAAAGGCATTGCAAAACTCAATTAATCTCAGAAGTCTTTCTTCTTTTAAACTTGCTTGTATTATAATACATTTGGGAATTCAATTCTTGTTCTATGAGATTATTTATAAAAACAGCTGACAGTCTTTAGAAATCATTCTAGATTTCCAAATTCAGAATCCCCATCTTGATGTGATGTGAATGATTGAGTCTTTTCTAAAAAAAAAAGGGAAAAAAAAAGTTCTCCTCTATCTCTCTTAAATTTCATCCAAAGTGTTACCAACATTGTAAATTTTAATCATTAATTCAAGGTTTCTTTCTAGTTCAAGGAAATATTCAAGGAACATTTAGAGCAAAATATTTTTTTTTTTGTACATAGAAAAAAAAATGATTTACTTTTTTTCTTAAGGCGAAGGTATGGCCTTCAGCTTGGAAAAAAAGTAAGGTACATTATATATTCTATGGACAACAGCTCACATTGTCCTCTAGCTTTTTGATATGCTTTAAATAAAAATTTTCTCTTGTAAGTTACAATATTACAAAAGTCAACCTGCTCCCCACCCCCAAAGCATCTCTGCAAACCAAGTAAAGTGGTAATAAAATGAATATTATTATGCTATACAGAAAGATGCAAATAAATCATGTTATTTATATGCTTGCTTTGGTTTTTAACTTTTGAAAGTATTCAAGTGCCAAATATTATCGTTCAATGTTACTTTCTCTTTTTTGACTTAAGTTTTCACCTTTTATTTTTCTTCCTCTCTTACTGTCCTTTCCATGTCTAAAGTTTAGCTTTTCCTATAGCAGAAAAAAATGTCTTACCACTATCACACTTTCCAATTTAGTCATCCCACTGACTCTAGATGTACCTTCTTAGAGAATAAGCCTCATGTTTTCAAGTTCTTAGCATTTCTACAGTGTTTCTTTTTAATAGCATGAACTCAACCCATAGTGTTACAGTGATGACCTGACTCTATCCATGTACCTTAGTTTCCTTCTTCTTCCTCCCCAAACAACCATATATAAAAATTAATTTACCTTTGACCTTAAACCATAGAAAGATTTTCCTTCTGTCAGAACTCTAATGTGAAGTTTTTAAAATAGATTGTGTATGTATTGACAAACAAGATTACATGCGCCCCAGCATTGAGGGACTCACTCCGCTCTCAAACTTAGCGCCACCGTGTGGTGAAATAGTGAAATTGTAATGGCGTACATTGCATTCTTGGCAGACTTGCCTGAGGTTTTCATGAACACCCTTGCAGAAAAGCTAATCAAGGTATTATAGAGTGAACGTATGAGCGCATGCACATGGATCATTGGACTGATATTTAAGATGAGTAGTTCCTGCTCATCTTGGAAAAATGATCATAAAGCACCTGATAACTCCTGGATTTATACCTATCAGTAGTTGTAAATCATTAGCACACTTTAATGTCCACGAAATGGAAAGTTCTCTTCATTACAGTTTGGCAGCAAGATGTGGTAAGGCTGAAAATGGAGGAGTTCATTCTGTGTCTGTGGCCAACCAGGCAAGCTGTCAGTTCTTACAGTGCTGTGGCTGAAATGCAAAGGAAATGCATACCCATGTGAGAGGTGTCTAAAAATCTGCCTTCCACTCAAGAGAAGTTCATGTTTGACCCTGGTGATGTCGGGATGTCCTTCAAATGCCCTTGAGGTTTATCTTTAACTAAAGCTTAACTCACTGTTTTACTTTTGAAAAGAATGCTTATACAGTTAAGGAGATTCTTGTAGGATCTTTAAAGCAAAGTATTAAGATGATGAATGAGGGTTATCAAGGAGGTGAATTAAATGACAGCAGGAAGTTACAGACCTATTTTTATCTGGTACTCATTCCTAGTCACCCTATAAATATTAATATATTCTGCTGTCTACAGCATGAAGATGACCACAGTCAGTTTTTTCTGAACCAACTTCTTGAATTTATGCATATTTGGAAAATATCCAGGTAAGACATTTTACTTCTGTTCCAAGACCACCTTCTAGCTAGTTCTCAAGTGCTGATGCACAATGTTTTCCAGTTGATTGTAAAAACCACCCTTTCACTAGTATCTCAGAAACTATTGTACTTTTACTAGATACCTGCTTTGGCAAGTTCGGTTCATAGTTATTGATTCCTCACAGCTATCCAAATACATTTGAAGAGCTGCTAACACCTTCCAAAGCAATCTAACATTCATTTTAGAATATCGCTGCTACCAGTTATTACATTTTCAATGATTTTTTTCTCAATCATGTTGTGAATTTGAGTTTCATGGGCCACTAAGCACTCTGTATAATTACATTTCCATACTTTGAAAGCCACCACCTCCTGCTTTAAGTTTCTTTCTGGAAATCTCTGAAAATACCTAGTACATCATAAACAGAGGAGTGGGGATTCCAATGGGAAAACTCAAGTGCCAGCAAATCAACATATCCTAATTGATCCTGACATCTAAATGTGTGCATGTGTCATTTGAAAGGACAGACCTAACTAAGAAGCTAACTTGGGAGAAGATACCAGTGGTACAGTATGGGTTTATCTGGAATGAACGTTGTTCTGAGTTGAATGAGCAAATAATGGGGTATGGGAGGTACGTGTCTTAACTCTCCAATGAAAAGCCTAACGTAAAAACATGAGTTAAAATTGGTTTGAGTAACTATCATTTCATGGAGTTCTTATACTCTTTGCATTATCTCATCTAATTCTGAAGTTCTGGCTCTTGAAGTTATTTAACTGGCCTGAGATCACTTCATTAATGCAGGACTGAAAGCAGTTCTGCCTAAAATTTACAAAGACCATATTCTTTTAGTAAACTGTGTCTCCCCATGTGTGCCATTCTTTTCTTTTTTCCTCCAAATTAGTCAGTCTAACACCATATAATAATAGAATGGGTGGATTAGAGAGGACTTTTTGACATAACCTAATCCAAGTTTTTATTTTTTAGCTAATTACTGGATCAGGTATAGTTTCATTTCAAAATAGCATACAGAAAAATACTGTAGTTTCCTTGTTCCAAAATAAGGTCATCCAAAAACAAACCAACAAACAAACAAAAAAAAACTTGTAAAGAAAAAGAGACATCAAATATGACAAATTCTTTAAAAAGTAGGACACTCTCCCCCCAAAAAACGGTGGGAAGACCCTGGGAGACTAATAACTGCTTTGAACTGGTTTGGTGGAGGGTTGTGACTCGTCACTAGTGGAAACTGTAAGAAGATGGTTAGGACAAGGGAGATTCATTCTCTTCCTGTCTTACCCTGTCATTGCCTGCCCCTCACAGAAGTCTGGTGGCCGTGACCACTGTGCAATACAGTGTCCACAGTACAGTTAACTTAGGGCAAAGCAAAAGCTCTGTTACAATGAGAAGTAGAGGGAACCTGGCAGGGACAGACTAGCCCACTGACATCATTTTTTGCAATGAGTGTTTTGGATATTACACCCACAGCACAAACAATAACAAAAGCAAAAATTAACTAGTGTGCCTACACTAGTCTTATGTACAAATCCTTAATCCATTTTCTACATATTAGGTAGAGCTACTATGCCTCCCGGTCTTGGCAGAGTGGCCTTATGAAGTAGGTGTCCTGTGAGACCCCTGGCACAGTCTCCTTAGACACCTGAACCAAGTTCTCCAGGTGTGTCTCTTGTGTGGGTCGTAGGCACCCTTCTGTTGGAGTTGAGCTTCGATTGCTCTTGGCATATCAATGGAAGGGACTGACCCTCAATCTGATTGGTTATGAGGACTGGCTCCGACTACAGTGAAGGAGCTGTTATGTAAGGGTTGTTCCTACAGAGCAGGATTCACTATAGCAGGGCTCTGGTACCTGCCAAGTCTGCCATGTGGGTGTGTCATTTATGGAGGTAGCTGGGTAGTGCTCAGGTATGGTCTGAAGTTGGCCACCAGATGTGTTGGTTCTGGGGCCTCTTGGAAAGAACTCTGGTGCAGGCCAAAGCCAGCCATTGCCTGCATCCTGGGGTCACTGGTATGGGCTACAATCTGATCTATAGTAATCCTTCTTAAAGCTAATTTGGTATAGAATCATGTACAAACAGAACTTGTAATGGATGTGCTAAAGTTAATATGTTGTCCCACCCAATTTTAAGCAAAGCTTCTTTTTTTTTCTTTCCAGACAGTGCCTCTCAACAGTAATAAAAAAATATGACTCTCACCTGAAATACCTATTGAAAACCCAGGTATTCACTTTTGTTAATTCATCTATCAATTAAATAAGCATTTATTAAGCATCTACTCTTTTTCTAAAGCTGCAATTTTCTAAAGATAAAGCAGAGTGTCTACACTTGAGTGACTCACTCTATCTTAACAAAACCTGCAAGTAAATAGATGTGTGTAATGAAATGTCATAGGTCCTGCGAAAGACCTATGTGTATACAAGACCATAGAGGGTTTATCAAATTTACTTATTTGATCCGAATGTTGAAAAAGGAGTATTCCAGCCAGAGAAAGGTACAGTGAAGGAAGGTAGGAAGTAGGGATAACTTTGAGTAAAGAAAAACATGAACGAAACAGTTGGGAAACAGCCTAGCATGATTAGGACTCTCTATGAAATTTGCAGTGGCAACAATTAGGGTCCAAGGTGAGAGCCTGGAAGAGAACAAAAAGAAAGGGGCAAATGGGGGCCAAGTTATGCAGGATCTTAAGGACATATTATTGACAATATAATGATTTTCTAATTTATCAGACGGTGACATAGAGCCAATAGGCAGAGCAGCAGACATGACAAATGAGTGACTAGAGGGGCATTTCATTAGCCCAAAGAGATGATGAGGGCCTTGACAAAAGCTCTACTATAGGGATGGATAGGAGGGAAGAGATTCATAACAGGTGAAAATCTGCAATTTACATGATTTGGTGAAAGACTATGAGTAACAAAAGAACAAGTTGTTTAAAATACCTCCAGATTCCTGGTTGTTGACTGACTACATAGACGTCAAGTCACAAATCAGTGAAGAGAGAAGTTGGCTTGACATGGGAAAATGGTGGATTCAGTCCAGGACTACTGAGATGTGGTCACCAACTGGGCATCCCAGTTGTGATCACAATTAGGCAGACCATTTCTTATAGCTTGTTCTTCCAGAGAAGAGTTAATCTTCCACAGATAAACATCATATGATTACAGAAAATTGTATAAGAGAAAGTTTTTAAAACAAGCGAGGACTGCTTTTTTCATTAAATGATTTGACTCCATATATATATATATATATATATATATATATATATACACACACACACATATATACACACACACATATATATCATAAATTTCAAGTAACAATTTAGATCTCAAGTAACAATTTCTAATAGCAATGAACACTGAAGGATTCTGAAAATAATAAATTATATTTCTTGATATAGATGCCAAATTCATGTGTGAGTTACATGTAAATATTAGAGACATAGTGATAGCAAATGCATGGTTGATATCCCTGCCCCAAGTTAATCCTCTCCCTCTAGTTCCACTTCCCTTTCTTGAGACTGGCCTGATTCTGGAAGTTTACAATGTGGAATGTGAAAATAATTTAAAATTAAATTGTTTGAAGTCTCACATATATGTCATACTTAGTTCTTTCAGCTTGCTTCTTTGCCTTTGTGAGTCATTCTTCCTAGTGTTGAAATTTACCAAGCAGCTAGGGCAGATTATCACTTCATTCCTAGATCATTTGTGTATCTTGACTATATGTTGATACACTGTTGAGGTTATGGCAAACTACTTATAGATGAATTTTAATTATATAAATGTCAAATGTCTGTGCACTATTCATGAACCATAAACATCTTTTTGCACACACACACACACACACACAAATTGTTGAGAATCTGTTAACAGTTCTTTTTTTCTATATACAGAAGTTTGATCATATTACTCATATATGAAGAATCCAATATTTCCGTGTTGAAAGAAACCATTGACCATTGTAAATTTTTAAAATGTGACTTAAAAGTTGGCAAAATATCAAATAAATAGTGTCTTTATATTTTCACTGGAAAATAGTTATCATCATCCACATCTGAATTATTTTATAAGTAGGCCACAGTGTCTAAGATTTTCCTGATGAACTCCACTAAACAAAGAGCTTTTTAACTGAGATTCTGAAGCAGAATCAATAGTAAATATCTGAGAAGTGAGGACAGACTGTGATGTTATCAATTTACAATTTTGCACTTTCTATTTATTTGACAAGTGAATTAAGTAGCATTTCATCAATGTCGAAAACAGTATTGAGTTGACAAAGAATGTATTTTTATATTTCTCAAACTTGGATTATTACACATAACTTGAAAAATTAACAAATGTACAGGCTGAATAAAAATATGGCATAAGTAATATTGAATATCAATGTAGATAATTTAAGTTTTCAAATATTTTCTTTCTTCAGCAATGGTTACCTAACATATTTTAAACTTGGCTTATTTCAGAATGGGCATCTTGAAATAATTTTTCCCTAACATATTACTTAATGCAAATCACTGAACTATTCAGTCACTAGATGGAAGTCAGAACCATGCTCTGGAGTGGCTGAGGTTTTAGTTGCAGAGACAGCATATTTACATAAATAACAGAGAGAGATAAGTCTACAGAGCAAAACAGTATAAAACCAGATTTCAATCTAGGTGAAAGAGTTAACCTCTGATGCAAAGTTGCTTCTCCTAGAAACCTCTAATGAATGGTCTCCAAAATTTGTTTTAAAATGTCAAGTAGGATTTTTAGAGAAAGTTAGCAATTCCTATCACTGAAGACAAATTTATACTAGACTCCAGTAACTGGTAAAGTAATCATAAAGTAGAGGGATCTGGAATAAGAAAAATCTATTTATGTTTCAAAATGTGGTTTGGCTTCATATAACATCTATCTGGTCTGATCAGAGCTAAAAACATCCAAACCTCTTACTATCTAGCCCATGACGCTGAGGTTGCACCAACTAGATAACCAGAAGAATATATGTCGGTGAGGAAGGCAGCATAGCTCTTAACTCACACTTTTTCCTCCCCAAGACCCAGCTCCAACTGTAATCAGCCTCTACACAGAGGCTGAAAATTCCACATATAAGTAGAAAGAAAGAGGGTGCATAGAAATCTTATATATTTAGGTTTTTTAGAACTGAAGCCCTTTTAGTAACAAGCACATCTATCGTTGGCCATTCAAAAGTTTGAATTTGACACAGAATTTAAACAAAATGACAATAAGGACATAATTTAGGAGCAGAGATTCCGAAGTCAGATAAATAAATATGTCAACCCTCTGCCAGCTATGGGAGTTTTTATTTAACCTTCCAAGAGTTCATATTATTCATCACTAAAGTTAACATAATAAAATATAATATAATGATTTTTTTAATTAATGAAATAATGGATGCAATGTGCTTAATATAATGTTTGGAATACAAAAAGTATTCAAGGAAAGGTAAGTATAAGGGTTACTCTATAGCTACTAGAGTTACTATTTTTGACACTTTCCTTTTGTAATAGAGAATGAGAAAAAGTGAAAGAGGAGCAAAAAAGACAATTAAAAAATAGGATAAAATAATTAGGCAACAAGGACCAGTTGTAAGGTCACCAAAAGTCAAAAAAAGGAAGAGGTAAACCTGAGTCACGAGAAAAATAAAATGCAATTGCAGAATTGGAACCTACCTTAGCAGAAACTAAAAGTCAAGCCTATTACGTATTGAACACTCAGACTTGAAGAAACAGAAAAATTAAAAAGTAAAAGTAAATCTTCAATAAGGAAGGCAACCATTAGCCAACATAATTTGTGTTCCTAAGAAGAAAGGAAGGGTTTTGTTAAAGGAATAACGTGATCTGACATTTGACTTGGAATTTGCACAGTGAATTGTGTAATACATGGAGAATGCATAATAAGATACATACAAATTGAAGAATAATAATAGAGAAGGCACTCCTACAATATAGTGCCTAAACATTAAGTTTAGAAACAAAATATTGCCAGTATCATGTGATGTGCTTGTGTACAACTTCTTACCTCCTTTTCTCTGCATAAGAGCTATCCGTTGGTGAGAAGTATTCTGGAGCTTTACCATTTCATCATCAAAGTGTGTATCTATCAGCAATACAAAGTTGAGGGTTCCTTTTAATGTCTACTAAGTGGAACCAAAGTGTATGTACTTTTTGAGCTATGTATCTTTTCACTCAATATTGTTTTTGAGATGTATTCATCTTGTATCATGTGGTTTTGATTTGTTTACACATTCTACTGTTTATGTACATTTGAACTAATAATGTCAAGGGTTCCTTTAGGGTATATATCTAGGGTCGTAGACTTAAAAGGTATTGCAAATACCTTATAATATCAAAGGTATTACTTTTCTAACATAATCAGAGACATTTCACAATATTATAGAGTTCCCATTGCTCCATTTTCTCAATAACATATGATATAATCTAACTTTTAAAATTTTAGAAGTTTATGAGATAAATGTAATTATATCTTATTTCAGTTTTAATTTTTACTTCCCTGACTACTAATAAATCCAAGGTTCTTTACTCTTTTTAAAGGTAACATCAAACTGTCATTTGTATAATTTACATGTTCAAACATTTTGTCCTTTTTTCTATATTTCTTTATCTTTTTCAAATAGATTTATGGGTTACACATTTATTCTTTCTTTGCTTATGTGTATTATATCTCTGCTAGTTGTTAGCTTGTCTTTCAGTTTCATCATGATGTCTTATTACTACATCAACTTCCTCAGTTTAATTTATATAATATACACTCAGTTAACTGTAGAGTTTGTCAAGTTTTGAAAATGCCCATATCTATGTAACCACTATAAAAATCTAGATATAAAATATTTTATTACACCAAAGAGTGGCCAAATCCTTCCTTGTAGTAAATCCCTCCCATCCTAGACATCACGTGACTATCAATACGAACTTCTTTTGCCTTTTTTACTACAAGTGATAAGAACAGAATCCTTGCCTTATTGTTAAACTTAGAGAAAAAGTTACAGTTTTGCACCATTCACTATGAAGTTATTTTGAGGTTATGTAGATATGGTATGAAGTTTGTATCCCTTTACTAGGTTAGGGAAGTTTCTTTCTATTCCTAGTTTGCTAAGAGTTTCTATCATAATAGGTGAGAATTTTCTCAAGTACTCTTTCTATTTTTATGCAGATAGGCATATGGTTTTTCTCATTTTCATATTTTAAAAATATATTT